CAATATCATGCAGCCCTAAACTAAACCAAATTGGACCCCCTCTTCAGTGATTTCTAAGGCGTGCAGATTTCTCCCGCAGCACATCTGACATGCACAAACACCTGTTTCATGTTGCGCAGGCACCATCTGGCAGGTAAAGTCTCTGCAGGACGGTGTGAATTTTCATCTTGCCGGAGATGTTTATATGAGCTCCTGAGTTGCAGGCATGAAAAGAGGTGCCAGAGTCAAGTAACCTTTACGCTGGTGTCATTTGTGTAACCCAGTTGGTTATATGATCTACAGCAGTATCAGATGAATCCCACAAACACTGGCAGCGTCTCAAAACTCTCCGCGCTGACTTTATAAACAGCATTTTTTATTATGCATCCCAGGACTAGCATACAATGAACACAACAAAGCAGGCAGACCTGCATTCAATTTCCTTTTCTTTCATTTCCCATGCAAAAATTATGTATTTGAGCTTTTAAATGGAGTTTTTCCTTTTCCATACCTACGTTAAAAGTACTATAGTAATTTAGGGTAACCACTATAGTGTCTTTGAACCATTCATTCATTCAATATTCCCTTTATATATCAGTGGTCCCCACAGTGGAATGAACCACCAACTTATCTAGCAGTGTTTTGCACAGCGGATGCCGTTCCAGCTGCAACCCATCGCTGGGAAACACCCATACACTTTTACATCCACACTCATACACTACGGCCAATTTAGCTTATTCAATTCCTCTATGGTGTTCGTACTGTGGAGCACCCGGAGAAAACCCACGCCAACTTGAGGAGAACTTGCAAACTCCACACAGAAATGACAACTGACCAGGCCGGGGCTTGAACCAGCAACCTTCTTGCTGTAAGGTGATCGTGCTACCCACTGCGCCACCATGGCGCCGTCTTTAAACCACACTATAGCAAAGTACTTGAATTAATCCGTTGTGGTGATTCTATAGCTGTTATGGTTACACAACTACTATAGTAATATATGGTGCTCAGCATACACTAACCGGCCACTTTATTAGGTACACCTGTCCAACTGCTGGTTAATGCAAATGTCTAATCAGCCAATCACATGGCAGCAGCTCACTGCATTTAGTTATGTAGACATGGTCGAGACGATCTGCTGCAGTTCAAACTGAGCATCAGAATGGGGAAGAAAGGGGATTTAAGAGACTTTGAATGTGGCATGGTTGTTGCTGCCAGACGGGCTGCTCTAAGTATTTCAGAAACTGCTGATCTACTGGGATTTTCACGCACAGCCATCTCTAGATCTGTTTAATAAATCTGTTTTCTTCAAATGCATCAAATATATCAAATATATAGCCCTTCCACAGCTGTATCCCCTCTAGACTTCACCAGGATGTTTTGACACCACCTCATGCTTCAGTTACTCATCAATTCTGCTGACCAATCAAGTGCGCTCTTGTATGCTAGTATCTTGTATCCCGCCCCCTTCTTCTCATTGGCATTTCATTTGATGCTTTCAAGCTTAACCACTCCCACTGGCAGAGCTGTAACAAAAACAAAACGCCACTGGCTGTTTTTAATAAAGAGGAGGAGCTACTCAATGCCCAACCCTCTCTTCATGTTTTAGTTGAGATTTTGTCAAACATTAAATATAAATGCAAGTGCGTTTTCATTTGAAAACGCATAAGTTTTGATACAGTTACGCCATCCGTCCACACTACGCCGGAGTTCTCGAGCGCCGAAAACGGAGCGTTTCGAAAACGCTGGAGAGGCCGTTTTCATTCTGAAGCGCTGCTGCTCCGTCTCAGTGTGGATGAGGGAAAACGGAGACATCTGAAAACGGAGGCGGGGCTGCTGAGATTCACTACCTGATTGGGGCGTTTGTGTGATTGCGTATCCTTCCCTTATTCGTCAAGCCCCTATCACATGACTATAACACATGGCTTTAACGCTATTGGAAGACAGCAGACCAGCCTTCACTGTAAACAACAACATGTGCACAGAAATGGGAGCATTGTTTGCACTATTGTCTGTTTTAGGCAGCATTGTGCAGTTATTCATTTGTTACGTTTAGTAACAACTCGACCTCGTCGTCTGTCCACAAAAATACCTCTCTTGCTTTCTTTGCCATCGCGTTCATTGTTCAACACGGCGTTTGTCGACTAACAATAACCAAATGCCGAGCGAGACACATGCTTCCTGTTTATACTAGAACATGCATGCCCAGAGTGCGCGAATGATCACGTGATGTACGTTTTTGGTGTGGACGGAGATATGTTCAGAAACGCTAGTGTGGACGCGGATCGTTTTTGATCTAACACGCTGTTTTAAAACTAAAACGCACTAGTGTAACGGGGCCTTCGTCAAACTGAAGAATTAACTAAACTACATGACCTGTTTTAGCTTCTGCCAATCTTCCATTTTCAAAAGCACTTTTACAGAGTGATAGCGACCGAATCCCCAACACTCTCAAGTCACTGAGCGATTCAACATGTGTTTGTTTTCTGCAGCTCCCATCCTATGTTTCTTCAGCACGCCTCGCATTATGCAAGGCTCCGGCCCAAGGTCCCACATGAAGAGTTTTCGGAAAATAAATCCATGCATATTTTACAAGCCAGATTGGTCGGGGCCTTAATGCAAACCATCTCACGTGCGGAGCTTGACTTGTTAATGCTGTAATTTAGCGAATTCCCACGACGGCGAAAATCGCGATTGAGGGCCAAGTTCAAATGCTGTTCACATCAAGACTACTGTGCAGAAGATGAGTCTGCCGTCAACATCTGGAGCAGCTGCTGTCATCTATAGTTCATGCCTTTCCCGTCACGTCACTAGCTGCTTACTTGAGAAAAAAAAACGATCTGCTCGACTGGAAAACACCAGAAATGTAAACAACATGTGGAGAGAAATGTCATATTCAGCTCAAGTCAAAATCCCGCAAGATTACAAGAGGTTTATAATAAAACATCACCAAAAAAACAAGCTCAACCTGTATTATGAGGCCAAACGCCACTTTCAGTTTCGGATTTTTCCTGCAGCTGAACAGACGCGCTTTGGGGTTTGTTATGTAAAACGTGCAGTTGTGAAGGTAGTGTTTCAGCTGAGGCTTATTTAAAGGGACAGTTCACCTCAATAATGAAACTTTGACTATTTAATGACCATCCGGCGCTTCCAAACACAAAGATATTTTGAAGGAGGCTCAAAACCCTTGACTTCCATAGTAGGACAAACAAATACTGCACTGTACAACTGACAATATCACTGTGCTGTAGTTTCACACCATGATTGTAATTGTTAATTTACAGTGCACGTCTACATTTTACAGTACTACTGGTAACCAAAATTGCCAGTAAAACGTACAAATGCAATACAGTTACGACAATATAAATTGCACTTTACAATTTTACACTATTACTGGCAAAATAATACAGTAAAATGTACAAGTGCACTGTAAATTAGCACTACTTAAAACTACAGTATAGTTGTATTTGTTTATGTGCAGTGTGCTTGTAAATTTTGCAGGTAATACTGTAAAAATTGCCGGTAATATTGTATATTTTACAGCAATTTTTACAGTGTATGGAAGTCAATGGTTACAGGTTTGTAACATGTTTCAAAACATGAAAACAAATTTACAAGTGCAATACGATTACAACAATATCAATTGAACAACTCATTTACAGTATTACTGGCTATTCTGGTTGACAGTAAAAAGTCAAATTTACCAGTTCACTGTAAATTTACCATTACAGTTGTGCTGTAAAACTACAGCAGAGTTGTAGTTGTTAAGTTACAGTGCACTTGTACATTTTACAGTATCACTGGCAACCAAAATGTTTACAATGTATTGAAGTCAATGGTGACCGGATTCTAAAATTTTTCAAAACATCTTATTTTTTGTTTAACAAAAGAAAGAAGCTCATGAAGGTTTGGAACAAAATAAACTGTCAATAAATCAATAAATAATGACAGAACTGTCTTTTTTAGGGTGAACTACCCCTTTAACATAGTCTTGACCAGTATATTATCACAGTAGGAGTTGCTCAATATGCAAGTAATTGAAAACAGCTCACAGAAATTCTCCATTAATATTGAAGTAAAACTACAGCACAGTTGTAACTGTAAATTTACAGTGCACTTGTAAATTTTACAGCATTACTGTTAACCAACATTGCCAGTAATACTTTAAAATGTACAAGTGCAATACAATTACAACAATATCAATTGCACAACTCATTTACAGTATTACTGGCGATTCTGATTGACAGTAAAAAGTCAAATTTACCAGTTCACTGTAAATTTACAATTACAGTTGTGCTGTAAAACTACAGCCGAGTTGTAATTGTTCATTTGACGTGCACTTGTAAATTTTACAGTATCACTGGCAGCCAAAATGTTTACAATGTATTGAAGTCAATGGTGACCCGTTTCTAACATTTTTCAAAACATCTTATTTTTGGTTTACCAAAAGAAAGAAGCTCAGGAAGGTTTGGAACAAATAAACAGTCAATAAATCAATAAATAATGACAGAACTGTCTTTTTTAGGGTGAACTACCCCTTTAACACAGTCTTGACCAGTATATTGTCATAGTTATGAGTTGCTCAATATGCAAGTAATTGAAAACAGCTCACAGAAATTCTCTATTGATATTGAAAACAAATTACACCTAAAACAAAAATGATTTCTACTGCTTGTTCAAACTATTTATTTAAAATAAACAGTCAACAAAATTCTTGAGGTTTTCAGAGGGACAACTCAGTTGTTTTATGCTCAATCCACTAATTTGTGTGGGACAACATGAAGGTGTGGAACCCAGCACTTTTGACAGTGACTAAAGAGTGAATAATTAAATGATTTCCTTTTAGCCTAAACTATTCCTTAAATATGGTCTTGACCAGTATATTGTCACAATTGTGGATTGCTCAACATGCGAGTAATTGAAAACAGCTCGCACAAATTCTCCATTGCAATTGAAGTAAAACAAATTAACACCATACAGTGGTTCGGACATGCATGGGTTTCTGTGCACGCTCACTGACTTACATTGTTCCTCCATGGAGGCTTGTTTTGGGTTTGAGGTTTCAGGTTGGGAGTCGATGATGGGGTCCAGAGCGGGGCTCTCACTGCGGACCACAGCTCTCTTGGATGGCTGCAGTTTGTGGAAAAGGGGACGTGTGGACACGGAGCTCAGGAGCAACAAACACGTGGCTAGAATGTCCCATAACTTCATTTTAGACTCAGTTCCTTTGAGGGAAGCTGCAACGGTGCAAAAGGGGAAATGCGTGAAAATCTGCACAGTGACAAAGATCAGCATGCAAAGACTTTATTCACAGGTGAAGCCTTGATTATTTAGCTTTATTTTCATTTTTAAGTACTTCCCAAATGGTGTTGAACAGATTCAGGAATTTTTCACAGTGTTTCCGATCATATTTTTTCTTCAGGAGAAAGTCTTATTTGTTTTATTTTGGCTAGAATGAAAGCAGTTTTTAATTTGCAATATTATTAGCCCCCTTCAGCAATATTAGTTTTGGATTTTTTCTTTTTAAATATTTCCTAAGTGATGTTTAACAGAGCAAGGAATTTTCACAGTATGTCTGATAATATTTTTTCTTCTGGAGAAAGTTTGATTAATTTTATTTTGGCTAGAATAAAAGCAGATTTTAATTTTTTTAAAGCCATTTTAAGGACAATATTATTAGTCCCTTTAGTTATTTTTGTTTTCGATAGTCTACAGAACAAACCACTGTTATACAATGACTTGCCTAATTACCCTAATGTTAACCTAATTAACCCTTTAAATGCCACTTTAAGCTGAATACTAGTATCTTGTAAAATTTGTACTCAAATATTATGTGCTGTCATCATGGCAAAGCGAAAATAAATCAGTTATTATGTTTAGAAAAGTGCGGAAAAATCTCTCTGTTAAATAGAAATTGGGGAAAAGCATACAGGGGGGTGAATAATTCTGACCAGAACTGTATTTCATGTGTTCATTTGATGGGTGCTGTGTTTGTTTTCTATGCTGGCTACTGAAAATCCTCCCAAAGGGAGCCAGTTCAAGAGTAAATGAGAAAAAGTGCTGAATTAAATATTCTGATGAAGCCCTTTTTAGTCCAATGTGCTCTGTGGGCTGCAGCCCAGCTAATGCCGAACAGATTTCTGTCAATATTACAGAGCAGAAAAAATGTGTGTGTTCTGCCAGAGTTCCCCCCCATCCCGGATCCCAAAACTCCCGTTGATGGAAAGGCAAATAAAATCCACCAGTTTCACGAACGCAATGATGTTTGCAATTACTTTTATAACCGTGCATGACGCTGCGCTCCGATTGCTGATCGTTAAAACCTGCTGGTTGTACATGCAATTATTCAATTACAGCTTTTTTGATACTTTATAAGCCCCATAGTCGTGGGATCAGGAGGTTGAGCTATTTAGTGCATCATTCCAGCCACATAAATCCCCCACAATTGGCGCTTTTAAGTGTTTTGGCTGTTAAATTAGTCCATTTAAAAGCATCCCGATTCATTTTTAAAGGTGCTCGTTTTAAGGCCTCACATTGTGTTGTGAAGTAAACACTCGTAAAGATTTCTCCATCTTATTTAGTGCATTTGAAAAGCACACAGTAACTATATTTCCATCTGGTGAGCCCTCTCTACCCAGCAACACTCGGCGAATATGTAAAGGAGAGCAGTGCGCCTTTTGGACATACAGCTTTCTAATTTGTTTCAAAACTATTAACAATGATTTAATGAGGTAAAGTTTGTTTTATATTCGCGCATTTGTTCATTTCTGAACAAAGTAACACATTGTGACCTGCTCCCTATACTGTTTACCATGTAAATTTTAATATTCAGCCTTCAAAACAACATTAGCACTGTTTAATTCACTGTGGACAATGTTGTACTTCAATAGTCGATGGCGTGTTAATATGATTTCTCTATTTAGAATACTTTTTTCTGAAAAAAATACTATATTATTAAGAAAAAACTCCCAATGTGCGAATAAAAAACCCAACTCTACCTCAATAAATGCTTTATTGCTTCTTTATTAAACCCAAAATCTGATAACCCCATCATAAAATATAAACTTTACGATTCCAAAAGCCTGAATAGTTTTAAAAATGACTATTTTGAAGTAAAACAACCATGTTCTGTCAAAATGATGGAAAAAAAACATATAAATTCACCTTAAATGGGGTCCATACAGACCGGAGCTTCAGAAAAGCCAAATTCTCAGTAAACCAGGAAACATTGAACAGATCCAAAAGATAAAATCCGTGAGTTATCCAAGAAATATCACTGTTCCAGGTCCATTCACAGCATGTTATCCGCTAGATCCAAGTGTCCAGAAGACGCGCGCGTCGCTCAGCTCACCGCGCGCAACGCAACGCGACGCGCGTGACCGTGATGCTGCCGCGCGCGGCGTCTGTAAAATAAGGGAAAATCAGCAGCTGCAGCAACAGCTCACATGAAGACATCGGGATCCAAACACACATCCAAAATCCGCACTAACTCTGATAGTTTCCCGTGTCTATATAAACGCGCCGCATTCTGCCTCCAAAACCCTGCGCACAGGTGAAGAAATCCAGGTGAACGTTCACCAATATCCACTTTGATCAGTTGAGAGTGTGTGTGTGTGCGTAATGTAGCTGCAGACCGATCATATGTGTGTGTCTGTCAGCTCAACGCAGTTATGATCCACACGCGCGTCTCTGAAACGCGTCTGACGCTCCCGCTGAGCTCGGAGCGCTTTTTAACACGCTCTCGGGTTCGACCGCGCTGACGTCACATACAGGCCCCGCCCTAATTTTTTTCCCTCGCAGAACTCGGCTGCAGCACACATCCATCCATCAGATTCCATCTGCTGATTTTTGTGTTGCATAAAAGCAGCTTTGGAATTAATCATACAAAAAGTCATGACAACAAATACTTTTATTCTAATTCAATTTAATTCAACGGTAACACTTTAGAATAACTATCCGTTATAACTAGTTAATAGACCATTAATAAACTGTTAGTTAACAAGTTATAAATGACTTGTTAAACAAAAGTTAATAGTTTGTTAATTATTTACAACTGTACCTTATAGATGGCTAATAGATCACTTACAAGCCGTTAGTTGACAAGTTGTAAATGACTTCTTAACTGTATTTTAATTATTTATAACTATACCTAATAAATTAGTAATAGATCATGAACAAGCTGTTAGTAAATAACTTAATAAAGGCTTGTTAAGTATCAGTTAATAGTGTATATATGTTATTGGGACGTTATTCTAAAGTTGCAGCTATTCTTCATTTATTAACTGTTAGTTAATGAGGAATAGTTGCAACTTTAGAATAACGTCCCAATAACATGCTTAAGCTAATAACTAACACTTATTTAACTTAATTACTAACACTATTATATTTACTCACACTTTACAGATCAGTTGTTCACAATAACATAATAACACCAGTGAAACTTTTTTATTATACCACTGGTTTAATTTTAAATTTTTATTTATTTTGTTTTCATGTTTAGCACTTCATGGGTTTGTATTCTTGCATACTGCTGTACTGCCATGTCATGGTTCAGTATGTGTGTTTCTATACATTAAAGACAACTTTTAACATTTCATCTGTGGAGTTTCTTTGGTAAAACACAGCACACAGAAAAGCCTATAAGTGGAACAAGGTTTAGAAACAAACATTTTATATTTTAAATATTACATCAAATTTCTGTAGCTTGAACTTATTCCATCCATTTGCTGTTCTACAAGGATTCATTGGTATTAGTAGATGGTTAACAAACGATGAACAACTCTTGTCTGTAAAGTGTGAGTAAATATAATAGTTAAGTGTTAGTTATTAGCTTAAGCATGTTATTGGGACGTTATTCTAAAGTTGCAACTATTCCTCATTAACTAACAGTTAATAAATGAAAAATAGCTGCAACTTTAGAATAACGTCCCAATAACATATACACACCATAACTGATACTTAACAAGTCTTTATTAAGTAATTTACTAACAGCTTGTTCATGATCTCTTAAAAATTTAGGTATAGTTATAAATCATTAAAATACAGTTAAGAAGTCATTTACAACTTGTCAACTAACGGCTTGTAAGTTATCCATTGCCCATCTATAAGGCACAGTTGTAAATAATTAACAAACTATTAACTTTTATTTAACAAGTCATTTATAACTTGTTAACTAACAGTTTATTAATGGTCTATTAACTAGTTATAACAGATAGTTATTCTAAAGTGTTACCAATTCAACAAGTTATTCGGGTTTCCGCTGTATGTTTTGTAGCTATACAAAGTTTAACGACCTATTTTTATTCAGTTTGACTGATTTAAGTTGACATGACTAGAAAAGGTTATATGAGTTGACTTAAATGAAGGCAGGAGGAGTTTTTACAGTGTGTAAAATCTCTGGTGGGGAAACACGGTGGCTCAGTGGTTAGCACCGTCACCTCACAGCAAGAAGGTCATGGGTTTGAGCTCTGGCTGGGCCAGTTGGCATTTCTGTGTGGAGTTTGCATGTTCTCCCTGTGTTGGTGCTCCGGGTGCTCCGGTTTCCCCCACAGTCCAAACACATGCGCTATAGGGGAATTGAAAATAGAATTGAAATCCCCACTCACCCCCTTCTCCAAACCAAACCGACAGTGTTTTCAAAAGCACCGACTGACCCACCCACCCCATTCCTTTATCCCAACCAATAGTGTTTTAACCAGCACCGATTGACCAGCCCACCCCCTTCCCTAAACCCAACCAATAGTGTTTTCACAAGCACCGATTGACCAGCCCACCCCACCCCCTTCCCTAAACCCAACTGACAGTGTTTTCACAAGCACCGATTGACCCGCCCACCCCCTTCCCTAAACCCAACCAACAGTGTTTTCACAAGCACCGATTGACCCGCCCACCCCCTTCCCTAAACCCAACCAATAGTGTTTTCACCAGCACCGATTGACCAGCCCACCCCCTTCCCTAAACCCAACCAACAGTGTTTTCAAAAGCACTGATTGACCCGCCCACCCCCTTCCATAAACCCAAACGACAGCGTTTTCAAAAGCACAGATTGACCCAATCACTCCCTTCCCTAAACCCAACCAATAGTGTTTTCAAAAGCACAGACTAACCCGCCCACTCCCTTCCCTAAACCCAACCCACAGTGTTTTTTAAAGCAGTCCAGAAAAAGACAAGCCCTCGCAGCAGCCTGATTTTTACCACATTTTCAGATTTTACCCAATTCTTATCCTATTTCCTTTTTTTTTTGACTTTCGTTTTGTCTTACCTGCTTTCTAGAGCCGTTCTTCTCCACACTTGAACCCCATCGTCACTTTCAACTCGTCTTTGCATCTCAAGTCTGCCGATGAACACGGCTAGCCACTGGTCAAACTGGTAACAGCGGAAAAGCCATACACATGGAGGTAAGCGTTCAGCTGGTAGCACGATAAGAAGCAGAAGCCGGCTGCGGCGTCATACCGCTCTGTAGCATTCGTTTTAAAGACGAAATGCAGCCATATGTACCTACATAATTCACACTCTCCAGAATTGTGTATAAGGGTACATTTTCACAATGAGCCTGTGTTGGTATTTCATTCATTCATTCATTTTCTTGTCGGCTTAGTCCCTTTATTAATCCGGGGTCACCACAGCGGAATGAACCGCCAACTTATCCAGCAAGTTTTTACGCAGCTAAAGCCCTACAAGCCGCAACCCATCTCTGGGAAACATCCACACACACATTCACACACACACTCATACACTACGGACAATTTAGCCTACCCAATTCACCTGTACCGCATGTCCTTGGACTGTGGGGGAAACCGGAGCACCCGGAGGAAACCCACGCGAACGCAGGGAGAACATGCAAACTCCACACAGAAACGCCAACTGAGCTGAGGCTCTAACCAGCGCCCCAGCGACCTTCTTGCTGTGAGGCGACAGCACTACCTACTGCGCCACTGCGTCGCCATGTGTTGGTATTTCTTTACCCTATATCGAATGATTTAATTAATCAATAATTGTTTTTTTTTTATGAATATTTTGAATTGAGAGATATGATGTAATTTCTGCAATAATTCAGACTTGTCATTGCTATGCAGGAAATAAATCTTAAACCTTAAAGATGAAGCTCTCAAAATGCAATCTGAAACCATTACTAAATAAAATAATAAATATGATTCATAAACTGCAGAAAATTATTAACTAACTGTATTTTTTTACAGCGTGATCCAAATATCGACCGTGGTTTGATTACAAGTAAAAACGAAAGTTACTATTGTTAAACTTTGGTAACAAGGGCCGGAGTGGGACTCCTTTTCAGCCCTGAAGTTTCAAGCCTTAGACCGGCCCACCTCAGTTCACGACTGACTATCTTAAAATCAGGTCATTTCCAATTCAGTTTCTAATGACACGATCACGTATTTTTCAAGAAAACAGCTGCTTTATAAGTTGAAATGTTCAACAACCCAAACAGTATTATATGTCTTAACAATAAAATTGAAAAAAAAAAAAAAATTAAATTGGATTGAACTTGGGTCCTGCAGTGTGGTAATGCAACATGCTGACCACTGAACCACAATGGTGCTATTGTTGAAACTCTGTCTATCTGTTTTCTACATTTCAGATCAATGTATGTCAGATTTATTAATGTAGTGAATCATCGGATTTTCATTGAGCATGTGTAATATTCATTAATATTAATTATTCGAATTCTTATATTCAATAAGGTGCCGCTGTTTGGTGTCGAATAATAATTACGTCATCATTAACCTGCAATCTGCATTTTCCTCACGGGGCTGCGAGAAAATAAATAAAAAGCAAAATATTGAATAAAAAGAGACTATGTGGTCAAATAAATAAAAAAAAATGAAAAAAGTGCAACTGCTGAGAGTGCAAGCAGCTAGGGACACCGGCCCTCGCGGCCAAAAAAACGGACCGGCCCACCGGGAATTCTCCCGGTCCTCCCGATTAGCCAATCCGGGCCTGGTAACCACAGTAGTTTTGCTACACTAACCACACTTTCACCATCGTAAAACTAGTTGCACAAACATAAAAAAACACACTTTATGGTTGTAAAAACCATGGTTCATTTTAATAAGGTGAACCACCTGACAACATTGAATATTACACACCAACATGGTTTGAATAATGTATTAAAACAAGTTTAAATAATCAGAAATGATAGTCACGTGTCGTAAACACCCATGAAGTTTTTGCAAACACATTGTCTGAGTTCCCATACAATTCCTATGGCATTCTTTGAAGTGCCTCGCTGTGTCTGTTAAAAATACCATGGTATTTTGCATGGGATGTTTGTGGTGTTTAGTGTTGTGTTTGAGTTTCATTCCACAGGATTTATCCGCGTCATACAGGCTTTATTAAAACCATCTTTACTAAATCAAAGCATCCGTGACAGCAGTTTGTTTAGGGCTTTTGTTTAGACGGTCTGCCTTTATAAATGAAGCTCCGAATTCATCATTTAACCTTGACCTCACACACACACACACACAAACGCAAATATAGACACCCACATATCTATAGTTTATATACAGTACAGTTAGTACAAACATGTCAGGCATATTTACAACAGAAATCATTTGCAGGCTTATTAAAAACTCTATTTGGGGATCACTGTTTGGTCCCGCAACACTCATTACTAGTCTGAAACCTTTCTACTTTGTCACTTATGCAATCCTAAAATGTATTTAATCTTTTGAAACGCAATCAAAT